GTGGACCAGAAAACTGTTCCAATCTATCGGTCAGTGGCAGTCTGGTTCATTTGGATAATTTTGACACAAAACTGATTATTTGCATAATTATGCTGTTTTTTTTTTAAAGAAAAATATAAATCTGTATTAAATCTTAATCCTCAGTATAAAAATTAATGCAGCCCACGTCAGAAACAGGTCTGCTGCAGTGTAACAAGTATAAATTGCATCTCGGTAGTACCTTTTATATAGCGGAATCAAATGTATGCATGGTTTTATTGTTAGAAGCAAATACATGCATAAATTTACCGTAAAAAAACAAAAGGTACCCAATATTTTCAGGTGGTTTCCTGCCAGCAGCCTTCCTCATAGCAACGGGGTTTGTTGATTGTGAGACCCGGATGATAGGCGTGGCTTTCCTGACACTGGGCGTGGCGTTTACTGCAGGTGTGCGAGCAGGCTTCCAGATCAACCACGTGGACATTGCCCCCAGGTAAGAGCGGACACTCGCGTACTTGAAGTCCGTAATGCGTGGTGTGACGTAATATGGCTGTTAAAAATTAAAAAATTAAAAAATTAAAAATTTCAGCACTGTAGTTTCACCCCCTCATATGATGTTCTGTGTAGCCTGCCTTCAACATGGGGTATTGTTTAAAAGATTTCACTCATGGATATAATCGACAGCTCGGTAGAAAATAAACGTTTTTTAAAATTTAATTTAATTTAATTTAATTTTTTTAGGTTTGCAGGTGAAATCTACGGCATAACAAACACGCTATCGACGATCCCAGGCATGGTTTCCCCTATTGCAGTGGGTGCTTTAACTCCAAACGTAAGCGGTCACTTGCAAAAATTCATGTTTATGCTCACTCCATGGCCATTGCTTTGCAGATTTAACAACTTTTCAAATTTTTTATTATCTTTATTTATTTATTTGTTTGTTTGTTTATTTTTGTGTAAAATTTCCAAGAATGTTTGTAATAACAGATGGTTTATAGCTCATGAGTACCTCGAATACTTTTTAAGAGGACATTTATGTGCACATGTACAGTAACCGTGCATATAATAGCATGAATGGAAAATAATGTAACATATTGTGATTTTGTTGATTAATGCAATATATTTGACTTCAGTTGTTATGAGTGCGTGTAACTCTTCTTTTTAAGGGTTCCAAGGAAGAGTGGCAACGGGTGCTCTTCATAAGTGGCGCCATCTATACGTTTGGCTCACTGTTTTTCTTGGTATTTGCAAGCGGCGAGGAGCAGACCTGGGACAAACCGGATCATCTTCACTACCAGGACGATCAGGAGCTCAAGGAAAAAGAGAAAAAGGATGACTTGGAAAATACGACATTGTAATTAATAAAGGTTCGGTTGAGACCTACATCGTGTAAATATGAAACTGAGTTCGCTGGAACAGTTTTAGAAGGATGATGTACTATAAGTAGGCCTATCCCATTTACTCTATTTTTTGTCTAGTTAGCGTAGAAAGTCACTGCATGCCGTTATTTGGTATTATAAGTAGAATCCACTGAGGGTGCTGTGCTGTCAAATTTTATAATGATTGTTATTACTAGTGTTAATTCTAAAAGAGCGAGTGTTGTGTTTTTTTTTTTTTGCATAAATACCAAATTCATATCGTGGATTTTTGGAAGCGATCTGTATTTAAAGGCCTTAAAAAGGAACTGAAATTGAAGGATATAAGGTATAGCGACTTAATTAACTATTCAAGAGCACTCCATGTAAGAACAGAGCCAGACTTAAAGTGTGTGCACTGTACCAGAGACTGTCACTCTCGTATTGGACTTTATGTAAGAACAGAGCCAGATAAGACTAACAGTGCGCGTCAGAAACTCGCTGGCACTTCCGTATAGGATTTTTCATGCAGTTATACTAGTATATACTCAGCGCTGCAATGTCAGAACAGATGATCCACTTCAAAGCGCAAATCCATTTTCTTTTTTGTAGTTGACGGTGCTAATAAAGAGTAGATTTTATTAAAAAACTTGATATTGTTCTGCACTAGCCAATGGAGAATGTAATATGGTGCACGACTGTGACACGCGAATATGAAACTCAAAGAACGAGCCTCTCTCAGTGTCTTCTTATCTCATTACGTCATCGGACAGTTGTCTCCCCTCTCTTATGTTTTGTACACACGAAGTCACATCAATGGACTAGTTATTTAACTTACCCATTAATGCGCGGAAGCATTTATATGAATCCGTAATAATTACAAAGCCATACGTTTCTACAGGCGTGACTGGTGACATGCAACTTTCTGTATTCCCTGTTCTTTTTTCATATGGGCGTTATCCGAGATAGTCCAATTTCCTTACCAAGGGAGATTTGGAGAGGATTAGAATCATAAATAGTTACAGCGTCACTCATTTATTATTATTATTTTTTTATTTTTCAGACAAAATTCCCAGCTCATAATTTCCTACTTATTGCCAAAATGGAAAACCCGTACGTGTAACACGTGGATTCTCGAACGTTTTCTGGTCTTGTATGACGTCAGATCAGTGCCAAAGGCCACGTTTTAGGCTACCTCGAATGATTTCCAATACCAACCATAGTTCAGGTGATAGACACACCTGTCTCATGTACGCATTGACTGTGTTCTTTACACTGGGCACACCATATCCAAAACAGTTCACTGAAATACAAAACATCAATCTTGATTGACTTTAACCTTTTGTGTGTGTGTGTCTTTTCATAATATATAGAGCAGCGAATTTCACTTGTTTCGCATGCGAAATGTTNTTTAAGAAGGATGATGTACTATTTAGGCCTATCCCATTTACTCTATTGTCTAGTTAGCGTAGAAAGTCACTGCATGCCGTTCTTTGGTATTATAAGCAGAATCCACTGAGGGTGCTGTGCTGTCAAATTTTATAATGATTGTTATTACTAGTGTTAATTCTAAAAGAGCGAGTGTTGTGTTTTTTTGCACAAATACCAAATTCATATCGTGGATTTTTGGAAGCGATCTGTATTTAAAGGCCTTAAAAAGGAACTGAAATTGAAGGATATAAGGAATAGCGACTTAATTAACTATTCAAGAGCACTCCATGTAAGAACAGAGCCAGACTTAAAGTGTGTGCACTGCACCAGAGACTGTCACTCCCGTATTGGACTTTATATAAGAACAGAGCCAGACTAACAGTGCGCGTCAGAAACTCGCTGGCACTTCAGTATAGGATTTTTCATGCAGTTATACTAGTATATACTCAGCGCTACAATGTCTGGACAGATGATCCACCTCAAAGCGCAAATCCATTTTTTTGTAGTTGACGGTGCTAATAAAGAGTAGATTTTATTAAAAACCTTGATATTGCTCTGCACTAGCCAATGGAGAATGTAATAGGGTGCACGACTGTAACACACGCATATGAAACGCACAGAGCGAGCCTCTCTCAGTGCCATCTTGTCTCATTACGCCACAGGACTGTTGACTCCCCTCTTTTATATTTTGTACACACGAATTCACATCAGTGGACAACAATGGACTAATTGTTTAGCTTACCTATTAATGCGCGGAATCATTTATATGAATCCGTATAAATTAGAAAGCCGTGCGTTTCTACGGGCGTGACTGGTGACATGCAACTTTCTGTATTCCCTGTTCTTTTTCCATATGGGCGTAATCCGAGATAGTCCAATTTCTTTACCAAGGGAGATTTGGAGAAGATTAGAATCATAAATAGTTACAGCGTCACTCATTTATTATTTTTGTTTTATTTTTCAGACAAAATTCCCAGCTCATAATTTCCTACTTATTGCCAAAATGGAAGACCCGTACGTGTAACATGTGGATTCTCGAACGTTTTATGGCCTTGTATGACGTCAGATCAGTGCCAAACGCCACGTTTTAGGCTACCTTGAATGATTTCCAATACCAGGCCCGTAGCCAGGGGGGGGGGGGGGTTCGGGGGGTTCGAAAGAACCGCCCCTTTTGGTGGGAAAAGGTCCACTCTGAGTAAAATTTGATCTAGGTTCATGAAGTTTTTATGGAAAAAGGTCCACTTTTTCATAAAAAGAAACCCCCTTTTGAAATTGCTGGCTACGGGCCTGAATACCAACCATTGTTCAGGTAATAAACACACCTGTCTCATGTACGCATCGACTGTGTTTTTTACACTGGGCACACCATATCCAAAACGGTTCATTACAAAACATTAATCTTGATTGACTTTAACCTTTTGTGTGTGTGTGTGTCATTTTCATAATATATAGAGCAGCGAATTTCACTTGTTTCGCATGCGAAATGTTGACGCAGAGAAACTGTGTTTAAAATTTTATTTAATTCTTTTTCATGTTGGATATAACTACGGGTCACTCATAATAATAATAATACAACCAATTATATCCGATATAATTCCCTGGTCAATGTGAACGGGTTTAGATCAAACATGAATCCAGTGTCAAGGTCACTCTAACAACCACGCACGGGATAAACCACATGAACCACGCAGCGTGAAAGATGCTGGTGTCTTACAATATTAATTAGTGAAAGAATCAGCTAGTGCACTGCTTGATTTATTCTGACTGGTGCAGTACGCGTTCGTTATCATGTGAAAGGGACCCAAGTCAGCTGCTGACCGCTGTAGACAGCTGAAGTTATGAATGGATGGAAATAACACGACCCAAGTTGTCGATATGCGGTTCAGAGAAAGCTGAAAAACTACACGTTTATTACCTGCAGCGACTGATCAAAAACTGCCCACTCAATGAGCAGGGTGTGAATATATACAAAGTAGGCAACAGGAGGCGGAGCTAAAACTGTAAATACATGTCCACTACAGACATTGACATATGAGCTTTAAAATACGTTACTACAACTGATAGTAGGGTTCGTTTGCATGGACGTGATTTTTCTATAGGTTCCAACACAAGTGCAAGCGGTGCTGTTTACATCCTACAGCCGTATCATTAATTTGAAAATACACACACGCACTCCGGGTTGTTTTGTATATGCAGTTTAATGATTGGTATATAAACAGTTCCATATCGTAAGTCATGGCAGTAGCAAGAGAAGCCGAGGCAGCTCCAATGTCACCAGACTCACGGGCTACAGGCGACATGGAGGACGCAGAGGATAACGTGCCACTAAAGGAAAATGGTAAGTATTGCCGGAGTATTGTTAGTACGGTACATGTACGGGTGGACAGCACGCAATAAAGGTCTGTTTACAGTAGAAATGGGTCGACCCAACCTGGAAACATGCACCTCAGCAGGCTGTGTGAATATGACGGTGATATTATGTCCACGGTATATAGCCACCGAAGACTACGGCACCCGGGGCCAACATCAACGACACTGGGGCTATATCAACGACAATGGGGCTATATCTACGACACTGGGCTAGGCCGGTGACTGAGAACAATGATCCACGTACGGGCAGTAGGAGCTGAACCGGCCGACACTGTAGGTTATTGTGCAGAAATAATCACAAGGCAAAACCTGCAGATCATACACGAGAGAAGCTGTAAATAAACAGCTACAGTACAGGTATATGTAGGAGTGAGAGAGATGCAAAGCAAAGCACCTGTATGCATGATTGCTTGCCTTGAAATTCTTGCAGAGGCACGCTTGTCCATTTTGTAGAGACTGACTCCATCCTGCCGTGTAACACTGCATGCAGAAAACATGGGGAGAAATGAATGTATTACTTAATGATGTTATTTATAGGAGTCTGCCGGGGAAACTGGTGGCGTGTATATATCATTACTTTGTTCATGCATAATTGATTGTTTACATGGAGAAAATGTTAAAGGGATAATAACTCCTCTTGTGAGATGTATTTCACAATAAATACATTGTATTCAACTCATAGAAATATAATATAGTCTATTTTACCACAAAAACGGCAGTTATAGCAATTAAGCTGGGATTTGTGCTTGTGGTCAGACCACATGACCTCCATAAATAGCTATACTCTATAATAATCTCTTAAGAGATTATTACAAAGAAAAAAAAACGGGGACTAACTTTAAATGTAGAAATGGATAAATTAAACACTGGTAATTATGGCGCCATGACATGAAGCAAACAAACACGTCTTTAGTGTCCAAATCATATACCTCAAGTGCCGACAAGGCACTCGGCGTTTATTTACATGCAAATCAGGCAGATGACCAAGTGTCACTGCTAGAGGCAATTACGTACTATACACCTGTGTTTACTCGTTACAATCGAATGCACTTTACATAATACTGGCGTAATCACTTTTCTTTCTCTTTTTCTTTCTTTTTTTTTTAAAGGATTAAATAATGTGTAATAACGGCAAAATCAATGCAAAAACATTAGTGCAGTATGTACAGAGGTGTAACAGTAGAGTGTCAATGTCAAAGGTATATGGAAGTCTCCTCTCCGTTTATAGATAACTGAGTGTCAGATTCATAGGTATAAACTCTTTTAAGACATTATTACAAAACATAATCAGTAAGATATCTGGGAGTTTGTCTTTTTCTCGTAGAACGTCTAAGAGTTTGAGCTGGTTGTTCACATAGATCTGATGGAGTTTCAACTACACCATTTTCGTTGCTTTCGTCAACTTGAGGCTGAAATTCATGGAAAGAGTCAA